GCTTTGGCTAGACAGTCATTAGTGTGCAGCAAGTGAAGGCTTGTGGAAAGAGAAAAAAACACTTGATTTTCTGTGAGATATCTCCTACACAGATAATTTGGCCCGTGGAGGCAGCAGTCGCAAGTCAATATCAAAGCCCAGATGTTGCGACTATTTCAAACTAACATGAGTAATTAGAAAAAAGTAGTTAAGTCTTCTTGTGTAAGTATTTCCCAGAGCTTACTTTGTATAACACCTGTGTCGTTAGATAACAGGTATCTCTGTCAAAATAACGGTTTTGCTTAATTAAGCTCATGTCAGTTAAGCTGTACTCGTTAAAACTGCTACTGATTTTAGGAGATTTGTTTTTTTTTGACAACTGGCAGATCTGATATTTCAGCAAGTAAACATTACTATGGCATACACCAAGAATGTACAGATCAACTTAATTTATTGAGTCATTTGTGCATAAATGTGTGCACATTGTGGATTCTTCAGATATGTCTATCACGTGAACGGTAGGATTGTAGAAGCTAATGTAGCTACAAAAAGTTGAATCTTATCCAAATATTATAAGCAGAAGACTTGGCAGTATCAGACGTGTAAATTACATCTTATACTGACAAAATACTGGGAGGGTGGGCGAGGGAGATCTGTGTGACTCAACTCTTACTAAATTGAGGTAAATTTGCTGCAGATACATAAAAGAGACATATTACATATTATTCTATCATAAAAATCTGTTCCCTCACTTTGACCATTAGGCTCTACAGTACTGAAGGTGTGCATATATCCATTATACGTCTCTCTTTACATTAGCAGTTTAATGATGCTGCCTCCACTTTGGGAAGGCAAGACTCTTTTAAACCAAAACATGTCAGAGTATAGTGGCTGACCCAAATTTCTAACCCTGTCTCCTGAAAATGATGTTGAACAACAAACTTCTATCAGAAAATGTGGTTTAGAGGAAATGCACTGCCACCCAGGTTACGTTTATTATTAACATAATGAGGAAACATTTGCAGTAGAACCCACATATAAACTGTTCACTGCCATCAAAAGATGTTCCCACTGAATGTTTCTGCAAAATAAATGTGTTTGTTTTCTCAACAATATCCCCTTGTTGAACTCATAATGGGAAATCGATGCAGCAGAACAAGAGATGACAACATTTGTATTCCATGTCATGCAGCCTGACAGCCGACAGTTTTGTTTGGAGATTCAGGTGTGTTAGGCTACAGTAGTAGGTAGCAGCGATTGTACCTTCGAGGTCTGGTGACCTCACCTCTTTGTAACTCGATACCTCCAATGAACCCAAACAGCGCTTCAGCTTCCTCCAAATATATTTGGTGACGGCATAATCTACATTTCCATTTCTAATATCATGCTTTATATTCTCAGATTATCATCACCTCCGCTTTCAACACTATTATCCTGGACCTGCCACACGGCAATGTGTTGCAGCTCGACACTGCTCCCTCCATGAGTGGGTGGATATCGGACTTTGTGACAGACTGAAGGCAGCTACCTGTCAAATCCCAGGCTTCAAACACAAGTGTACTACACACACTGAACATCTGTGGTTGTATGTCCTAATGTGTCCATCAAGCTTCTTTACTTTCTGAACAACACTTGTCTTGTGAGCTTCAGCTCCTAAAATCTACCACTCAACACCCTTGAGATGAGCACACTTGTATGTAAACTGTGGAAAAGAGAATTCACTCTTTAGGGACTATAGATTCCCAACTAACGATTACTGAATTGTTATTGTTGATTAGTTTATTAATCAGTGAGTCAATAAAATGTCGACAAACAGTGAAAAATGATCACCACAAGCTCCCAGGGCCCAAGATGATGTCTTTAGATTGCTTATGCGGTCCAACCATCAGCCCAAAACCCTCAGGCATTGAATTTACAATGCTATAAAACTGCTATAAAGCGGCAAATAACCACATTTCAGAAGATGGAACGAGCAACTAATCAATTAATCGACAAATCATTTCAGCACCCAGACCTTGGCGACATGCCTGCCCCACTTTGATATTAAATGGGTACTGTGGATGTACACATATTACTCCTGCTCCTCCTTAGTCCATTACACGGATTCATTTTAATGTCAGCCATAAAACACGGCAGGACACCGCACTTTCAATGATGCTTTGTTGTTTCTTTTTCTTGCTTCTGATGCATTTGGTGGATAGGAATCCATCATGAGTTAAATCATGGAAATTAGTGGTTTAGTGTAAAAGTGAATCTCAATCTCGTGTTTTTCTTTTCCTGTATATATTTATATAAACAGCTTAAACCAAGTGAGGCCTTAACCAAGTCACAGTTTTACTCCATGTTTGACAAAATAGCACGTCCTTATCAGGCTGTAAGGTTTGGCTGTCATTAACATAATTAAATGAGCATGAACTATGTCCAATCAAAAGCCAAAATGAAAGATCAAGTAGTGGATGTCCTGCCCACTGAGCTGAAAAACCTAATCTCATTCCTGTCCTGGTCTGGTTCTGCAGGTCACTAAAGTATACTGACCGCAGGCATCAGCCGCTGGTTTCACGCCACATCCTCCTGTCCTAAGGATAAGCTCCAGTGTGCTGTCTGCATTGCTGAGCAGGCTACTGAGCTGTTGACTGTCCTTCATTTGATTAAAACTGAGTGACACCATTCAGAGACAAGGGCAGAGAGGATTGCCCTAACTCAGTCAATTCACACCCAGCCTACCATCTGTGCCAAAAAAAACTTTGCTCTGACAGGCCGCTCATGTCCAGTTTATTACCCCCTTCACCTCAGTCGCTTCACACACGCACCAATTAAACCAGTCCCACCGAGAAGGCAGAAAGAAAAATGTAAAATTCAGAAGTAAAAACAAGGTTTTATTTAACAGGAGTATAAGCTCAGATTCAACATGTTAATTCAGCTGCTATACTGTGAAGAAGCAACTAACGAGTCAAGAACCAGGTATTTGCAGGCTAGTTGGCTAAAGACAAATCCCTGCCTCCAAATAAACCTCTACAAAGAAGCTATTAATGGCAACAAGGATACAGATAATATGTCAGCAAGACTGACACTTATTCTGAAGTGAAACAGAGTTGAAAATCTAATTAAGGGATAGATAGGATAACAAATTATATATTTCTCTTATACCTATTAATTAATTTAGGATTTATAGATCTAACTTGAGCCTTTCTCAGAGGCGGATGTAAAAGGAGCTTGACAACGGTATGACATGAACAAGTTAGTTGAAAATGTTTGAAATTAAAGGCAATATTTCATTTAAGATCATCGGTTTATTAAGTGTGTCTAAAAGGGCGTGTGGCAGTGTGACACCACTGCAGAGAATAATCTGCCCTCTCTTGCACTCAGAGAGAAATGCTGGTCTTTCTGGCTCCTAGTGGCGTTGACAAGTTGCTCATTTCAGCATCTCATTTACAGCCTTGGGACAAACGTAATTCATGTATTTAAATGACATCTTCCAAACAACAATGAAAATCTCATTGTCGCACAGGGATGGTCGCTGTGCAGTCTCTGCAGAGCCGAGGAAATGAGTAAAGCTGCATGAGGTAAAATTCTATTAGTTTTTCTTTTGGTTGGAATCATCACAGTAAAATGATAAGAAAATTTCCCTCCAGTCTTGAGCGTTAAAGAATTCATGAAATGTTCGAGCCCAGTGGCAGTTATTTGTGTTTAGGATGCCTATACTATTAAGTGTTCTGGAGCTTTGATGTGCCATTATTAGCTGTGTGTTTGGGTGACTCTACTAATTGTTCATTCAGTAAGTTAATCCAAATACTCTTTTTTTTCCCCCTTTGCCTTTCCAAGGCGCAGCGGGGCATTCAGTGATTTCTGCTGTAATTATCACTCTCCCATTGGCTCAAACTGAAGTAGATTCTCTTAAATCCCACTCAACATTATGAGTGGATTATGAGCCACGGGCATAGTGCATATAACAAAGTTCTGACTGTTTAAACTTCATGAGGTGGCAGTTTTGTTGAGTAGAAGTAGAAAATGATAGAAACAAATGCACACCCATTATACAGATCTGTTTCTTCCTAATTTTGTGTTACTATGCCATACCACGTACACTTCATGATAAATTGCTGTGAATAATTTCTGCTACAAACGTACAAGTTATTTGAAGTGGAATACCTTAATCATCACTTTTTTTCTGTGACTTTCAAAGCAGCAGGAGGCAAACCAACATAACTGAAAAAAGGCTTCTGTTCCCTCATGAAAATGCAACAAATAGGCTCCCAGACAGACAATGCACAGTGTAAATATTTGACATTACTGTAGAGGCTATACTGCTACTTCTGTGATTGGTGATTTAGTTGCTGCAGTTTTGTCTTGTGTTTTTTGTGCAATTTTGCCCATGCATGTCTGTTACATTCTTTGACAGTGGCATGAGACTGATAAGAACTACTGAGTACAATTCTGAGGTATACTAACTGCTGCATTTGCTTGACAGCTGTACTTTGCAGATTAAAGGCGCTGCACACTTACAAAGGTGTTTTTTCAATTCCTCTGGCTAATCAAGCCTTGCCAGGTGTATGTCGTTGGGTAACCTTATGCCACGGAACTCTAAGTACTGATAAGATAACTGATAACTTGGTACAGATACAGTACAACAAGGGCCAGGAGCATGTCAATCATACAGTCCTGAGATGAGCTCCAATTAGACAACAAGTGAAAACACCTGTGTGTGGACTATGGGTGTGGAGGCAATAACTTTTACTTTTGGACATTTTATAATAACATTGATGTATTTTTACTCTCCACGTGAGTTCTATTTTAATTAAATGCAGGGCTTTTACTTGGAGCATATTTATCCAAATTGGTATTTCTACTTCATGTAAAACATGTTTAATGCTTATATTTAAAATCATTAGGAAGAAAATTAAAAAATACAAACAATAGCAACACAAATGTCAGATCATGTATAGACCCGTTAGTCTTCGTGTCATCTTGAGGATGGGACATGGAGGAGAACGTGCCGTGAACCTGCAGCCCACTAGGCTTACTGTACCTACCAATCTCCGATGCCCCATGTGCCATTGCCGCCCCGCGCGCGCAGGCAACTACAGTCCTCATCCTGTGTGGACCAACCCGACGCTCAGACCGAACCCCTGCCGTCAACTTGACCGTGAGCACTTTCTGCTCCTAAAATGAATTCCTACACCGTCATCTAAAAAAAAAAACCCTTCACACCGCAGACCTCCTCCTTGTCGGACGCCACAGCTGCGGGTTTGGTTCCTTTCAGCCTGGCGGCGGTGCGAGCGGGACTGCCGCGGTGCCCTACACGAATGTGCTGAGGGGGGGGGGGACTGGACTGTGGAGAGCTGAGGACTCTAAAAACACCGAAGGCACTAAGAGGGGGAAAAGAGTGAACGCCTGCGTTTAGAGCAGCCTGCCTCCGAAGAGGCGAGAGGAGCAGAGAGGAGAGTTTTGGGTCCATTTCTACCAGAGCGCAATATCTGCACTTTGAAGAGACGGAACTTCACTGTCGCCGTCGACTTGACGCTGGGAGCTGCAGGGGGCTGAATGAGTAAATAGATAAGCGCGGTGTAACATGGATATCCGAGGAGGGGTAAACAGCAGAAAACACCGCAGGGAACGTAAGCCCACTCAGGTAAATATCTACAACTGTTTACTTTCCTCTATTTTTCAGTGTAAACTGTCATTTTTTAACATTATCGCCTGTTTTCGGTCTGCGCAATCATCAGGCTGCCCTTAACCCTCAGTCTGCAAAAACTTCCACTTCTGGCATCGAGGATAAACAAGTCAAATGGTGTAAAACCGAAATATTTTAGACATTTACTGAGACGTATCAACATACAGCCCGTCGTATCCTGGGATTTCCAGACTATATGCTCATTTATTTTTTATTTCCCACATCCTGGACATGCTGTGTAATATGTGTACGCTGCCTACTACTGGCTGTGAAATTGCACGTCAAGGCATATACTATATGTGTCCAACCTGCCAATTAGAATACTAACAGCATTGACAGACCAATTCCCAATTAAGTTGTACAATTTCCCCACAACCCATTTGAAATAATGACATTTTCCATGTCCTCTAATTGCCACGACCATCGTTTACACCCATGCACGTTTTCTGTAGGAAGGCACGAATACACCTATCCATTCTTTGTCATTTAAAAACTGTGGCAGCACTCATTTGTTGTCAGCGATCAACAGGGGATTGGACTCAGTCCAGTCTCATCATCTCTCCCTTCCTTTTGATTGCATCCTTGCCGAGCCTGATTGCAGTTCAGATTGTCTAAAGTCCTTTAGCGTGGGACTCCGTTTGAAAATAACTCCTCTTGCAATCAAGTGTCCATATGTTTGACAGAGAGCTGCCTTGCACATTAGGATTCTGCTATTAAGTAAATTAGCGGTGGCTCAGGAGGAGGTTCTTCTAACAAGTTACTACTCTCTGTGCCACAATGTTTGCAGTTTGTGCCATTTTCTCCTCTGTGTTGTGAGCACTTTCTTTTGTTTCATGTTGACATAATGCCAGCTGGATGTGCCCTGCACAGTGTTTCTACCAGAAGCTGTGGTTTAATTCCCTACGCAAACGCTACACTTTGGAGTGCACTTACTCTTCTTACCTTTTTAGTATCTGAGTGGTTTGGAATAGTAGATCTACTACAGGTCTCCTCGGGGAAGTGTGCTTATGGCTGGACACGTTTCCCATGATGTCACTGGCTCAGAGAGAGGAGGAGGAGGGTGGGACATGAAGTTCATAGTACCCCACTGAGCGGAGCCTGGTCTGCATAAGAAGTAGAAAGAGCAGCACATAGACTGACGAAGGTTGATGCGGGCAAAAACAGTTTCACTGATGGGTGAAAGTAGGGTTTGCTGTTTCTGAACCCTTTGCTTAACTATTGTAATAGTTATGTTAAAACCCTGATTTGTACTAATCAGACTGCAGATCCTTTTCCTTGCACCAGATATCAGTCCATACTCAGTCTTTTGCTATATATGTGTTGCTGTTTTTTTTCTTCTCATTTCTCATGCAGACCAGCTCAGTGGGGTAGTATAAAGTCTATGAAGTCCACATTCCAACCTCCTCCACTTTTTAAATCAGTGACATCTTCAGACCAGCAATAAACATCATTTTCTGCTGGAAGAGAAATATGTAAATCACAGAAAAATGATTCCCTCTCCAATTTTTTCATTGTGCTGTTGATGGACATTACAGCTGGAAGTTTCCAGGGGAAAGCACAGAAAACATGAAAGTAAGGGAATAAACATAGGAAATACATTGTCGCTTGTTACTTGTGAAGTTTTCACTTTTGAAATTGAAAGTAGCATTCTCAAGTTGCAGTTTGATGGATGTGCACATCTGGAAGTATTATTTATTTATTTTTTCACCAAAAAAAAAAGAAAATGAATGAACTTCTTGCGTTGTAACTGCCAACATTAGAGCACATATACGATGTAGTTTTGAATCGGGCCACAGTTTGTGTTTTTCTATATCAACCTTCAGATTCCTTTGTGGTCAGCGTTCTCCCAGTTTGGCCCACAGATGCTCGATGTTTTTTTTGTCAGTAAGAGGTTCTTTCTTTCCTCACAGTAATAACAGATTAGCCTTTCTTAGTCATGGGATTAAAACTGCTTCCCATGAGAACTGCTGGCTTCCACCAACCGAAGTGTTTGACCAAAGACCTAAATCTGTGTATTTAAGGAACTATTAATTTGGCAGGCTCTAAAATCCTAATGGGATTCTTAATTAGTGCCTCAGTAAATGCAGGTGCGCTGGAATTGTCAACCACTTTGAGTCAGAGCTAGCATCAACCGTAAGACAATTTATACACAATATCTTTGCTGCAGGTGCCTCATTAGAGTGATTACAATCCAGTCACATTTAGTGTATTTCCAATAAAATAAACTCAGTGATTCATCAGTTCACTTACATCTATTAAGACATTTACAATGAGTGCATCGCTAGAGGTTTAACCATTCAATAAATAATACTTCAGAAGCAGTAACTAAAGTTAGACGCATAGCTCTTTAACGATCTGATAATTATTCCCATATACTGTGCTCATTGTGGTAAGACCTGGGCTTGGAGCATGCGTGCAGGCAGTGAGAACCTTTCAACGCGCTCAGTGGGTCATGTCACAGGGGAGACTGGGACGAGCGCTTTCGTGGAGCGCCCCTGGTGTGGTCTGGAGAAATGAAGAAGCTGGCATGTGTTATGTCATCCCCGCGGCTTGTGTGCTCAGATCAAAACACCATTAGTCTCTTTGTCTTGTGCCACTATTTGAGGTAGAGTCTTGGCTAGGGAACACGTTGGCGCTTCCTTGACTCCCGCGGTGTGCGAGATTTGTGAGAAAAGAAAAAAAAACTTTGGTTGGCAGGCATGAAAGCTTCGAGAAAGCTTTGAGCTCATCAGTTATATGCGCAGAGATTCTTGAAGAGCGAGATTGGCAGAGGGAAGTTTAAGGTTGTTTTGTGGCTTTTTCCACATCTGTGCAACTTTGAAAGTTCCGTGAGTTCAAAGTCTACGTTGAGCACGAGAAGAAGTAAGCACCTTTTTTTTTTTAAATACCTTAAAAATACTTTATTTTTCACGTTAAAGTTGTTTTGGGTTCAGCAGATAATACCGTCAGTTTGATGGGGAAACCTTCAAGAGAAAAGAAGTATAGCCTTGGTCACTTTATATATCTCACACAGTCAAAAAATAGAATATGATTATTTTAGTTGATGGTATATTTGGTTCAATAATTGAATATTTAATGTCAAAAACTATTTGATTAGGGCTCAATATCATTATCGCCGCCACTCCTCCACAGAGCTGCTCGGTGAATCTTTGATTCATGTGTGTGGTGAATCAAAGTGTGCAGGATTAGGAAGGAATTTCACGTTCCCGACTACTACGAGTCTCCACTCGAGCACCAGCAGAAAATGAATTTTAAATGACTGGAGGCACTCCGAGCCGTGAGATGAGCCTCGCATGCAGGAAAACACTGATCGAGCCGGCGTCTGCAGATCAAATGCAGCATTGTATGCTATTTGTCCTGGTCGTGTCTCGTTCCTGCAGAGTGTGAGAGTCTGGTCTCATTCATGATTCAGAGCTCGGGTGTGTGTGTGTGGGGGGGGGGGGCTCAAGTATTTTAGCGTGAGTTTTATCTTCATCTAGATTCTTCAACCAAAGGGACCTGGAGTACCCCTCTATTAATACATTTTTGAGCCCTGAAAATTTAATGGCAGCGGAGAGATGGGGTGTAGTGGAGAGGGTTGAATCAGCTGACATCACTGTCGTCTTCTCTGGCTGACTGCACTACAATCTGTGGTTTATCAACTCCAGCTGGTGCTGTCGGAGCAGAAGAAGAGGAAAAAGAGAGGTGTCACTTTGACAACACTGAAATTTGGAGGAGCGCTTTGTCTGAGGCTTCCCTCAAAGCAGCTCCTCCAAAGTAAGCTCCTCCTACTGCTTGTTTTGTCTGACCAACAGTCCTAAATCCTAAACGTATTCAACTTACAATAAAATAAAACCGAGAAAAGACGCAAATCCTCACATTTGACAAGCCTGAGTGAGAGAAGGCATTTTGGCCGCTTGATAAATAACCTAAATCATCAATTCATTATCAAATTTGTTGTTGAGGAAAATGTGCTGTAATATTGATGTCTTCATATAAGCAGAGACATCATCCGGGATGTTGGTTATTATGATAACGTGACATTTGGGCATTTTACATAATGATTGTTGTGGGAAATTTCATCCAGCGTTCATGAAGTCGGAGATGATCTGTGAGCTGCACCTGACATGTTGCAGATCTCCGCTCATCATCACGACTCGCTTCTGATCTCCCGACACCAATCACCAGCGGTCTGGCCCGTTTGAAAAAAACAACAATGTCAAAGCTGTTGAATATGGCAGAAACCATTTCTATTTCCTCCAGAAATTGACAAGTTTGTTGTTGAAGTTCTTGAGCTGAAATGTCCGTTTCACAGGAATATATGTGAGGCGCTTGACAGGGATGATGCTGTATGCAGCATGCCCATCACACGGCAAGCAGCGGTTCAATCATCACATCGGAGAAAGTACATTTGTAAATGAGTGTCATTTATTGCATTGTGATCCATCATCTGCATTTGGGGAAATGAGAGGCTGAATTCCTCGCCGTTGTGTTACATTTAAATGCAGCTGAGTTTGTGCAAATTGGGGACAGGAAATGTTTAGGCCGGGACTGTCATTCCAGCTTTCATCTCATTCCATTTTTCAACTGCTGGCTTTTTCCAGAGACATGAAAGCGAGTGGAACTTGAAAGGCAAAGTTAGAACGCCAATCCCTGTCATTAACTTTCATCTCGTACAGCAAACAAATGAGAGAATCAATTTGGGATGAAAGTAAGCCATTGGCCTTGTCACTACCACTTAAGGTCACAAGGGTAATTAATTTGTGCTGAAGAGGAAGTCAAATACCGCCGCGGACACTCCCCGGCTTCCCCAGCCGCCATTTGAGTGCTGCATTTCTTTGGATCAAAAGGCCGTCTTTTATCCCTCGCTAACCCGTCGTCTGATGTCTCGTGTCTCAGGGTTTGCTGAGTAATAGAGATCAAGAAATTGCCGTTACAGGCCAACCGATACCTGCTTTTTCTGAATGGGGGCGTCTCAGTGGTTCACATGTCCTGGTTGTGTTCGCTTGTGCTGCTGTCAAGGCAGATAAATTCATTTTAGATGACCCGGTAGAGAAGGAAATAGGGAGCGCTGCACTGGGTCAAGAAACTTAGTGTGGGTGATGTTGAATTCAGTAAGTTTTGGTTTTCCACATAAAGGATTTCTAACTTTCAATGGGAGTGCCAAGGACTCCCATTGAAAGCCAGCTTTCCAAGCTTAGTCGATTACTTAACGCTGTTTGGAAACACGAAGCAGTGAGTGTCAAATTGCAGCAAGAGCGATCTGCAGCTTGTATTTTAGTCAAATTAAAACTTGAATTGTCTAAGTTAGTGTCATAGAAATGTTAGACATTAACCATACATTTAGATAACATGGCATACGTGTGAAGTTGGAATATAAACTCGCCTCTTTTTCTTCTGTTAAAGTCATTTTTGCAGAGTCATTTATTCAGTGCATCTCTCACAATTATTTCCTCGAAGGAGGAGCACTCCAAAAATATCCCACAAAAAGGGATTTGAAGTCACTCTTGTTTTTTTGTTTTTTTTATTAAAAGCCAATGTTAACTCGTGACATTTGCATCCTAATAACTGCAAGATAAATTGGTAACTAAGATAACACTCTAAACCCAATCTCCATGATGGGGTTTATGGGGGAAAAGCGTTTCCTTTGAATGCTTTAGTACACGCAGAAGAAAGAGGAGTGTTGGCGAACGTGTCAGTGTGCTCTGTCGTGCCTTTCAGTGGTGCAAAGATAAGAGGCGTAAAGATAACTGGGAAACTATGAAAGTGTAATCTCTCAGTTGTCTGCTTTCTTTTTTCTTTTTTTTTGCCACTTGCCTTTTGATAGACTATACTGTATGTTGTGAGTCATTTCTTCCTCATTAATTTCAGCATGCTGATGGTGTGTAGTCAGAGGAAACTGTGCCATCAGTCAGTTAAATGTACCAGAGTCAGTTTGAGCAAAGACGATGGCTAATTTCCCCTCTCCATCCTCTCATACGCAAACATCTATCTGCTGCTTTATCAGAAAGGATCATGGCTATCAACATGTCAGGGGGTGGGGGGGGGAATAAATAAATACATCACGGTTTATCAGTGACGGGAGGAATCCGCCTCATTATCATTTCACAACTTTTTTTTCCGGGACTTCATTTGAGTCTAAGCGGGGATAAATTACGCTTTAGTCCTTGAGAAAATCAATTGTGTGAGTCTCCCGGGGGACTGAAAATGGGTTTGCCCTGCCTACAGTCATCTCTTCATGTCAGAAATACATAATCCCTCCAGCTCCGATGAATTCCAGCAGCCAGGACAGTGCTTTATTACATGCCAGGGAAGTGTCTGACAAGCAGCTTGCTTTTTGTTTTGTCTCAGCAGGTTTGAGTACAAGCAATCCCTTTATGTTTCTCTCGCAGACATGATCCCTATTATGCGATTTTAAGCACACTTAAGCAAGCGCTGCTGCACAAGTGTTTTGTGAGTGCTTGGCTTGGACAAATCTTTTTTTTTTTTTTGTTGTGTTTGCGGGAGACAGAGCGGTTTCTTGATTATTCTTACAATTATAGATTGTACCCAGACTATCAGTGTCTGCACTACAAAATAGAGCTGCTGTCAACTGTCACCCTGACCCGAAAAGTGTTTGCAAAGATTAAATGTTTCTTTTTTTTACCATCCTCTTGTGTTTTATATCATACAAGTCATTGCCTCGCAAGCATGGACAGGTACTGCTCACGACTGCTGTGTCTAATGCCCCCGCTCCCTCTTTTCATTTGACAGAAGAACGGTGAAAGTGCTGGAAAAGACAAAGCCAGGATTCTACACACCTGTGATTTGATGTGAGCTTCTATTGACCTGAGACTATTAAAATGGAGTTGCTATGGAAACTTCTACTTCTGCTATCATTGGCGGAGTGTCTGGCAGGTAAGCCGCCAAACGTGCACTTTTGTTTCTCATGTTGTTAGCATAGGGGTTATGAATTGATATTTATAGATTTTTATTCTGTGAGGCGTACATATCAGATGGCACTTAAAAGTAACAAGGAAAAAACGAAAAGACTTTATCGCAAAGAGCGCCCAAAGCTTTCCTCCAATTCTTACAAATGGCAGGAAAGGTTCACCTTGTTGTCGGCTCAAGGCAGCAAATCAACATTCCTCCACTTCTGTATAGCAGCTACCTTTATCTTTCAGCAGCAGTGACTCCTGTTGGAAGAAGAATAAGCCAGGTTCCTATCTAGCAGCTGAGTGTGTAGTCATTCATTTTAAAGAGACCCTCAATTGTTGCTCTAATTGAGATTGCACCAGCAGCAGCGCAGAAATCTTGTCATTGATCTTGCTTTTAATGAGAGACCTGATTTTCCTCCCTTTACAAAATGTTCAGGGTCAAACGCTAGTTCTCTTCAGAATGTCAAAGTCTGAAGATGGGAACAAGATGAATATGGGCTTTGTCGCATGAGCGCAGTATCTTGAGGGATGAGTAATCTTTCATGTTGCCTTGCTCCAAATCAGCAGCCCCTCCTTACAGCTGGGACCTAAAATAATTAGCGTGCGTACATGTGTGCACGTGTGTACTTGAAACTGCCACAAATGTCTTTGTGCATGCGTGTCTCTCTGCAAACGCACAACAACACATCGGCACCTAAATTTGCCGACATGGCAATTAGACCCACTTATCACTGAATCCGATACACATCAGTGGACGTCTAACGAGGCTTTCCTCAGGGAACTGTTACTCGCTATAGGGTTAGGAACTAAAGCATAAGTCCGGATCACATATTATGTCCAACGTAAGCATTTCTGTTCCAGACAAGAGAATGTCTTCAACGTCGGTGGAATTTTTGATCTCAGACAGACGGCTTCAAGGACACAATTCAAGGCTGCAGTCTGTACCATAGATCCCAGCCACAAAACAGAAACCGCATTCAGGCTTATTTATTCAAGGCAAATTAGTGCTGAACAAAGGAGCAGAGGTTAAATGGCTTCTGAAAAGCAATGTGTTGCTCAGCCCTTGCCTCACTCTTGAGGCTCACACTCACAGTTGGTGTAACAAAGTAACTCAGCATTAATATTCAGCAAGGGGTTACATTACATATGCTCCGCTTGCAAGACAAGTATGGCGCAATACAACGATAGACCTCCATAGCCTCTGTGTTCTTGACAAGCGTTTTAGTATGCAGACCTGCAATGCTGGGGAGAGAGAGAGAGCTTGTGGGAGGAAGTTAGATAGGTGCTTCTAGGTAGTTTATTCATCCACAAGTAGGCACGTTTTCTTTTTGTTTTTCAGTGGGCATCGGCTGTGTGAGAGAGCAATGGGGCCAAGAGTAAGTCACTCCCATAGCGAGTTCATCTGTTCATCTGTTCATCTCTCCCCCCATTGCTCCCAGAGGGTCTGAACGGCCCGATGCAGGGGCGTGCTCTGCTTGTATGTTTGTTAATGTGTGGGTAAGAGAGAGAGAGAGGGGGAGCAAAGACGAGGCGTTGAGGTACAGCTGGATGTGGTTTATCCCCCCCCACACACACACACATACAGCTAACCTTCACACTGAAAGCCACTTCCAGGACTGGGTCAACAGTCTCCATCTGACAGAAGTGGTTTTGTCAACCCGGTTGTAGAACCAAGAAGGCTCCTTTTATTCTTAGAAAGTAACTCGTTGTCTGTAAGGACTGGCGACAGGAGATGGGATTTCTGTTCAATTACCACACTGCAATGTTGAAAAAAGTATATATATACATATCAGAGAGACCGTTTACTACAATTCGGTCGTGAAGAAAAAATAAGCCCCTGCTGTTAAGCTTGCTGTACATATTCCCTTTTACTACACAACCACTTGCCAAAAAGTTAAATCATTTGATGCAAAAAACATTGATTTCAAAACATTTTACTACAAGCTGACTGAATGCACGAGCATCTGCAGGAGTGCAGTCATAGAAACATCTGTCGTTTGCATTGAAAGACTACAATTTAGCAACACTGCAAGCAGAAATTGAAACAATTCCAGTAAGATTATCGCTGAGGGTCTAACCAGCAATCAAATGTTCTGTGCTTTCACAACAATTCAGAATGAATATGGGGAACATCTTCCATGGTTAGTTCAGTGAATGCCAACAGTTTCAGAGAAGTGATGCTTTTCGGTGTGATGAAAAATCAACAGGGCTATGATTAGTAGATGTCCAGTGTTCAGAAGTAACCTCAGGCAGTGCTTATCGGCCAATCAGAACTAAGTATTCAACAAAGCAGTAATGAGTCACAAAAACCAAAAAACAAAAAAACGCTTGCTTGACGGTTTCATAGAATGATGAGTTGAGTTTGTGGTTGTGCAACTTGATTCCTGTAAGCCTTAAAGGATAAGTTCACATTTTATAATTCTACCTTAATACAATACTGACATGTCTGCATGTACATGAAATGCCTTATTAGACACTCTTTGCTGTAAGTGTCCATACTGGTTGTGAAGATATCCTTTCCTTCGGTAATGTATATTAATGGAGAACAAAATCCTAAGTTTTTGTTCTGATTAAAATGTTAAATGGTGGGATGCATTGTGACACAGACAAGAGGACCATCACTTTGAAACGCATTGAAATAGCATTTATGAACAGGAGGACGATTATATCAGAAGGGATGATCACAGAGATCAAAATGTGTACCTGTGGTTGTGCAAGTACAGTTTTATGACTGATTTATAATAATGTGATGCTGTCCTTTTTAATATGACACAGCCAGTGGTCACCCCAAGTAAATACTCACAATGCATGACTTTTACCACCCCACTGTTCACTGATATGAAGGGTTGCTTCTGGCCAGCATTAACATCTCCTGGAGCTACTTTGACTTTGTTTTGTGTGCATCCCAGAGACGACTGGAGTTTCAAATATTGACTACCCTCATTGATTCATCAGAACACGGCAAAACCTTTTAAGAAGCAAGGATTTAATTGCGTCTTTGAAGTTGTGTCCATGTGAAGATGAGGAATATTCCCCAGTGAATCTTCCTCCCATGGCTGGCTGTATTTTTGCTTCATCCAATTTAAATGTGTTTGTGTAGCGTGTTTATTATAGATCCATAATAATTCATCTGTACTGTGTATTTTTTCTTGTAAATACATCACTGTCAATTAAACAGCAGTATACACCGTATTAGCGCCATGATACATCCCAATAGCTTGAAGCAGTGCTGTGAGCTGCTTTTCCTGGCATGTGTCAGTGTCTTTTGATGCTGCCGTTATTAGTCTGTAAAGATGACTCATCGTTGATGTGAACATTTTACCTGCATTATCTTAGATGTAAGCGGGAACAGGACACTCAATAATTATGCTCTCATCACAAGATTTCTATTCATCAGACAATGTTAAACATTTAGTGTCAGCATCACTCACTCACGGTAGCTTATTTAGAGAGTGTGAAAGTGTGTGTTGTGGTGGTTAAAATAAAAATTATGTTACGGATGGTATTTATGAGATTTACGTTACATTGGAGAAGAGATATTTACAGTGCGGGAACGATTAGCCGACTAATGGATCGGTCGATTAACAGAAAGTGCCAACTACTTTTGATTTATTGTTAAAGTAATTTCTCATGCAAAAATGGCAGAAAAAGCTGCTTTCAGCTGCAGATTCACTGCTTTTCTCTATTTTACATGATACTAAAATGAATAGCTTGGGGTTATTTGACTGACCAAACAAGACATTTAAAGACATCACTTTAGACATTTTTCACTATTTTTTGACATTTTATACTAATCGATTAATTGACAGATTAATACAAATATATAAATACTCGTTAGTTGCAGCCCTAGTACAGGAATTCAAACTGCACTTTCAACAAAAGAACCACTAATGGCCAAATCAAACATTTTGTAAGTTACTATAGTTGGAAACATGGCATAGCTCGAAACCATGATGAATGTTTCCATTAGTGCAGACCATAGCAGGAGGTAAGTGACAAACAACCTTCCAACCAATCTCGAGGAGGAAACGGTTGCAATATTACTACAATTAGATGACGAATAGCATTATCGGAAGCAATATGTTTCTGGGTTTATGTAGACATTCAACAGAGAGAACAACAGCAAGAAATGGCTTTAATTTGCCTTTCCCATAAATGGAGTGTGGGACCTAATCAATTCTGTGTTTCACCAGCGAACATGGCATTGGATACCTTGGATACAAGGGTGTTATTGGATTTCACATGCGCTAGCTTTGATTAGCTTGAGAGTGGTGTGACACAGTTGGCTATTAGTTGGGAATGTGTTGGCCGCGTTCGTCTGCTCACAGACTGTCGCTGAAAATGTAATTAATTTAATTAACGAGAGTCTGCAGTACAGAACAGTACACCCTAGCTGATAGTCATAGCAGTAAAGAATGTTTGACTCTTGTGCTATTTCTCTTTTATGTTTCTAATATATCTTCTCACTACTTCTTTAGTACTGCAATCACACCAATGTGTCCATCTCCAATAGTTCTTTAACATTTTCCCCAATTTTACTGATGAAATGTTTAAATATTAAGGGTTTTATTACCTATAATCGTGTGTATTACCAATGTTGCTATATTTCAAGGGCCTTGAAAAACAGGTTCGACAGATATTTCAAATATTTGGAGGAGTGTGATTGAATCTGTACTTTGCTCAAAAGCACCTCAACGTTCCTCATGCTCTGGAGTAGCATTTGCTGCCCCTGAATGAGAGACCTTAAAGGTGCACCTTATCGGCCTGGACAGAGGGGAAAGATGCTTTAAAAAGCAAGATTGGCTTTTTTATTTTTTTATTTGATGCATAAAACCCTGAGCTGAAACGAATGGATTTGGGACCTCACAAACGACCGATACCTCCCCCACAGCCGACTCCCCGTGTGCCTGTTTATTCATGCTGAGGTAAGCTGGAGGAATTCATTTGCTGTCAGCTAGTATTGAATTTGAGATTAGTTTTTATTTCAGCCTCCTAAACAGCTCCCTCTGCCTTGCACTTGTGCTTCGATGCTGAGTCTTGTGTTGTCTGAAGAGCCTTTCAAAGAAAACGGCTGCATCTGGCAGCAGGTGACAGATATGAGTGTAGGCGGCCCACTTTTTTTGTTTTTTTAAAGACCCTTTCATAATGACCTCCATCTCTGTCCTGCGGCATTGTGCAGTCGACTTCCTGTTAGGATTCTTGATGAGTATACTTCTGTGATAGAGCTTTTCATTATGTTGCTGCCTGTGCTCCGGGGTGCTCAGTGTTGGATCCGCCATCAGATTCTGGTATGCTGGTTTCAACATCATTTCTTGATTCCCTCCAATCTGTCCAATTGGAGTGTCCATGTTGAGCTACATTTTTTTAACGTTTACCAGATGTCTTTCCAGTATGCATCTATGATCTGGCTGAGCCAACTGGTATGCCACCAAAATTAGATCGTTCCGAAAAAGAGAAAATACCCTCGATGTCTGGTGCAGTGTGTCGCACATCTGTGTTTTGATTACCAGAAAGCAGGCTCGAAAATGATTCTGCTTTTTCCTGCTGCATCTTACATTCCCTCCTATGAAGGCAACGAAAGGGTTTCAGAGAGCTTGCATCAGTTTGAGCTGAGCCCCCAGGCACAGCCTCCAGAGCTCAATCCCTTCTCGTTACACTTAGTCACCATTATTATAGACTAACAGTTGCCATGGTGCTACCAAAGATCATATCAGTTCAGAGTATAGGCTGCAACCAAATATCTACGTTGATTACATTCGTATTACAGCCCGGGGAGAGGTTATGTCTTCGGTTGTTTTGTGTGCCTGTGTGCACACAGCCTGTGACTGAGTGAGCGTGCGTCTTTTATGTCTGTCCACGGCTGTTCTTGCAATGTGCCACAACAAGCTGCACAACATTTTGAATGGCCAGTTATGGCTGCATGCTCAAGGATCTCTCGTGGTGTGAGTCATATACTGCCATTGACTACCTGCTTATTCCTCACTCACCACTATAAACCGACCCCCGGCCAGTAGCGGCCGCTAGTGTTAACACAGCGCAGTGCTTCTACGACTTTTGTGTTTTATACAATTGTATAAAGTGTTTTATACAACAACTTGGAGCCCATCGCATGTATAACCTAACATCGCCGCTTGTTTTTGAGTTTGAATGAAGTCCGCTTACAGCACTGGTTGTATTCATTCAATCACACATTACAGCAGTTGTTGCTGCAGACACACCTGGCAGAGATCTGCGCTCTACTGAGTGCACCTTTCCAGTTGAATATCGAGTTAGGTTTTTGCATTGCAGTCGTTTTAGGGATTGATTGTTCGTGCAATGCACACCAAGGCAAAATCTGTTCTGACAGACATGGTTCAGCGCTGTTAGGGTGTTTGCTTGTGGGTGCAGAAGGAGTAATGCAGGTGGTTCTGTTGAGCGGTTGTTTGTGCTTTAAGAGTGGCAACAGCAGGGCGCAAGTGATGAGTGCGAGGTCCAACACATTAAATAAGCGCCATGAATCACTCACTGTTCCCAGTTTAGCCACATTCTTAATCAGGTGGTCATGAAAATAAGTTGAGTGCCAGAATGCCAGAGCAGGGCATTTTCTTTTTACAGTTTCCACGGATTCATTGAGCTGTTGGCACACGAAACTGCTGCAGCAGCCCTGAATAATAAAGCAACTGTTCATAAAAAAACAACAGTATGGCAATCGTTTACAATTCTCTTAAATATGATAACCCCTAAGTTTTTACTCTTATAATTGCCACACTTTAACAGTACATTTCAACACTTGTGCCATATATACAGTAACTCAAATATGTGACTGAATACTTTTTAAAGATCTCATTGGGTTTGTAACATCATCAGTCTTTGACATTATTCTCTGTAGTAAGCTCGCCCATACATGATGAATCCTCTACCATTCAACAGGTTTATCCAAACTCTGGATATCAGGGAATGCAAGAGCACCTTTGGGGTTTTTATTCACGTGGGAGAACAAACACAGAAATACTGTTCTGTTTGTGTAACATTGATTAGTTATTATGATTAGTTACAAATCTATAATTAATTTGGGATATGAACGATACATTTTGAATCTAATGATTTGTCTTTGGGTTCTGACTTTTGAATTGATGCGACTTAAAGCGCTAATTAATAACTAAAGGGCTGGGTAATGTTTTGGGGCTCCCAGCTGAATTCAAGCATGTTTAAAAAAAAAAAAAAAAAAAAAATGATGCAGAATGCAAATGTTTGTGACTTGATAACTGGACTCATTTATCAATGTAATCGGGCACAGCGATTCATCTCGTGTTTATTTCAGGCTTTATCAGATTTGTGTTTGAGTATGGAAGAGGTGTCTTCTGGTAATCAATCATCTCTCAAAGCTGCTTCGAGGGACACGCTTCATCTAACAACGATTATAATTAGGTGGCCTTTTATTCCGCGTAACTTTCCAAGAGGTTTATCCTTGTGGAGAGGAACAATCAGCATACAAGGTCCCTTGTCAAACATCCCCTCCCCTCTCAGAGAGTTATTTTTGAGTCTTGAGGATAAACTTGTACTCCCATGGCGCCAGAGACTTGAAAAGGATACCTGCCTCTCGTATAAATGAGTTACCCTACCTACGGAATCTTCCCACTTCTTTGTCGTTACAGAAATGCAAATGCCTTCCGACAAATCCAAAATGAATTCTCTTCCCTCTCAGAAAGGAATGTTTACTTCTGTGAAGAGTTGACTGCCCCATGGGTCACTGTTACTGTGGGCTTTGCTTTCACAACTTACGTTCACTGTTGAGCCTGGGTAATTAACAAGGAAAAAAATGTCACACTAGACATGCTGCTGTCTTTGTTGTTTCTCTTGTTTTCTTCTTCTTACAAAGACAATTCTGTATGTCACTCACATTTAGAGTTATGGTACTAATCTATTCGCTGTGCTATATTGTATATTTAAAAGTACTGCTTCCTTGCAGAACACCACACGATGACTAATACTGATATTAATAACGTGTACACACATGGTATATATGCAGAAATACTGTTTCAGTGTCATTCAGTGGTGTTTGCAAGCTGCACTGGTGATTTATTGTATAATTGCAAACTATAACACCCATGTTTGTAATGCATTATAAACATTCTCATAATGTATTATAATCTGCTTTAGTGCACTGTATAATTATAGTTGTAAATACTCTTTTATTTATAACAATAATCAAAACATATTAGAACATTTTTTATAATGACTTATTATTAGGTAAAGTATCATAATACGTCATAATTGCTGGTCACTCACTGATCATAGTGTATTATAATTCCCATAGCTTTAATGCTTTATTATCTTTTTCACTGTTTTAATGCATTATATTGGATTAAAAGTCATCTGATTCTTTTAAGTAGAATGAAAAAAGTTTAATTAAATCTATGCAAGAACACACAAAACAGTTTGTTTTACATTTAGCATTAAATGACCACAGTGACTCCTCATCACATTATAGCAGTGATTATAATGCATGTACAACTATGGGAAATATAATATATGATCTTTGGAACAACAACAAAAATGTCAGTGAATGCCCAGCAATTATGAAGTTGTGCTTGTTGTGTTCTTGTTTTATGATTATAGTTATATAGCACTATGCATATTTATGAGTGCTTATAACTGTAATTATAGAGTGCTATAAGTAGATTACAAGGTATTATAAGTGTATTTTTTATTGCATTATAGACATGGACGTCATAGAAAGTGCTCCTCAAACGTGCATTATACATAATAATAATAATAATAATAATAATAATAAGTGGTCCGGATGAGATTCAGAATGAAGTCAGTTTGTTTTTTGTTCTGAGGAAGTGGAATACAAACTATTTGGAAAGAGCACACGAATTTGGTTTTGATTTTGTACTTCAGGAAGGATAACAACCCTTCTCTCAAGTATCTTTCCTCCAATTTTGGAAATTATTGGCTTATTTTTCCATCTGAGTCACACAGGGCGCCATGTGGATGGCTTAAATGAGAGGGGCTGATTCAAAATAAGACCGAATTGCTCTCAGCATTTGTTGCGGCATTTTATTTCAAATTTCCTATTGGATGACACCCCCTGGGAAGATGGTGATACGTTTGAAGGGTTTAAATGAAATTGTGCTGAAGCGCGGCGGCAGCGTAGTGTGATTTTGACAAGTCTGTACATTCAGATGTTTGCATTAAAGTTTTATGAAGGTTACCCGCTGATTATGCAGTTCTTGGGGGATCTCGCAGCCTTTTACGTCTAATATGAAAAATGCTCATGGGCTCTGCTCGCATGGATCCACGCTATACAGAGATTTTACAGTGATTCAACCTTCTCTTGCACTGCACTGTTTTTCCACTTGCTTCCTTCCTGTCTAAGCTTGCAATATCTACTTGGCAGCAGAAAAATGTAAAAAAAAAAAAAATGTTTTTCATGCTCACCGGGACATCAAAGCTGATGCAGTTTTGTTGTTTCTCCAACCAGGAAGCGGAGTCTTGCTGAGGCCTGTGTTCACCAAACAACCCGGCAGTGTGGTCTTTCCCCTTGGAGCGGGTGAGAATCGCCGAGAGGTGGTCTTTAGCTGCGAGGCCCAGGGACACCCGCCGCCCTTCTACAGGTACTGCTTTATGCACACAGGGTTTGTTACGCAGAACTCTCTCAGAGCTTTCAAGTGCAGAATTTCTTCCTAAAAAAACCCCGAGTGAGATTGGATTTATTGCCCTGAGAAGACTGGAGATTTGTGGACCTTATGGCTCGCTGCTGCTCACATGCCTGCAGCACTCGGCGTCCCTGTCAGTCATGGTTAATTTGAGAATGATGAATTAATTGGCCTCAGTTGTTGGTCTATTGTATATTCGCCTTGGGGGTGGGGGGGGGGTCATTGATCTGCTGTAGAGCTTCCTGTCATCAGTATCACTGACCATTGCAAAGATCAAGTGACCCAAGAGAATCATGCACCAAAACTCTGCTGCTATCATGACAGAGATGGAGTGGGGAGGAAAACACCAGTGGAGTGTATTTCACATACCAGAAATGATGTGGCAGAAGATGCCCCACCATATCACCGCTTCGGGACAGCTATAGTTACATTTTGTGTGCAGCATCACTGCCCACGGCTGCGCCCACATTGCCAAAGGGCATCTGATTTTGGAGGTTATCACTACGCATGATTGAAATCACGTGACGGACTGAGGTGCGGAGGAACTGATGCTCGGCACTCTGGCCCTATGAGGTTGAGCGGGCAGTTGTGTTAGAAACGAGTTGGTACCCAGTTGCTGCTAAAATGACAACAAATGAAAACAAATGACAAACAATGATTTGCTTTAAAGTGCATCAAGCGCATAAGCTATTAATTTATAATCTATCAAATGAGGCCACATAGCTGTTGTACTCCTGTCAGTGTAATTAAATGCAAATTGCAAAGCCAAGCATTTAATGTGTAATAGGTTGAAACGATCCTTCATAATATCAGCATATGCAGCCGTTAATGTAGCTTGAAGATCCTCGGTGTTATGCCTAATGGGCACAAATTGAAATGAATGTTCAAGATCTTATCACTGGGATCGACTGGAATACTTATGAAGCAATCAGTCGCTCTTTCACCATCTGGATCGTCCTACTTTTCCAAATGAAAACCAGTTCACGTGTTCATATCTGCAAGTTCAAATTCTGAGAGCATGTCCGATTCCAAATCGAATCAAATTTGGCTTTGATGAGCTCTTTAATTACTGCAAGTGCCACCAACTGTGGCAGTTGATACAGCACATTAAGAAGTGGTTTTCAGATTAATCACAAGCTGTTATGAGTTCATACTTGTATCCCTTTTAATGATGGGCCTGATATTCAGATGGACATATTGCTGTGTCGTTAGTTCAGTCAGCATACATCATAGGGCTGTCGTCGCCTTTTGCACTTTACTTTTTCTAACCAAAGGTCACTTGTGCCAGATTTGGGAATGAGTTGAGGGTCTTTGTGAGGTTCAGCAGCAGGACACCATATGCCGAGTGGCTCTTGACTGCTGCGTATGAAGGCAGGTCTATTTCAGGTTCGCCAAGGACAAATTAATTTGCCCAAAGACTACCCAATGACTCCTACCACATAAAGCCCTCACTCCAAGTTGTCACCGTGCACCCTTGATTTGTCTCATCTGGAGCTCTTGGACCGGTTCCAGCTGCAACACCAAATCACTAAATCAATCTAATCAGCCAATCTGCCGTTGAGCACCGCTCTGCTGCATATGTCCCTCCCTTCAGCCCCGCTCTGCCGCTGTCTTTGTCTTAATCCTTCCCACTGAAGGAGGAGGATGAAGGTCAGAAATAGAAACCCCCAGCCTTCTTTTTCTCAGAGAGCTCTGAAAATCGAATCAAGACCAAGGAGCTAACATTCAACTTAATGTGTGTCTTATTTCCTCCGATGAAAAGCTTTTTCTTCAGAGTCAAGAAAGTGTCGCTCTTCTTGTTTGTCTTGGTTCACACTCTTCTTTTTTTCTGCTAATTTTCTTTCCCTTTGACTGTGATTCGGTTTGAGAACGAAAGTGCCATTTGCCATTTTCCTGGGTATAATACATACAATTTCAACAACCTATTCAATTGATGAAATGTATCTGAATACATTTAGAAAGTTTTCTGCAAAACAGGTTTAACTCTTTAGTGTTTTTGTGTAAAGTCTGTCTTGTAGTCTATATCATCAGTTAGGTAGTTAATATGATCACATGCTGCATTCGGTTGAACTGGCATCTACAACTCAGCAGGTTTTCTTAGACCATAAGCTTTAATTATGCAAAGTGAACAACATTAAATCTCCTGAATCGCGTACAGTTAAAAACTGATTGCTGGCAATTGCATCTTTCTGTTCTCTCGCTCTCGCCCTCACACACTTGCTGGATTCCCATAATCAAAACAAGAGGTTTCATCAAAAAGCACCATTATGCTGTGCAATATAAATAAAGAAAACAACCCACACACATAGGTACTTATGAAGGAAGAATGTGCACACCATCGCGTACTTCAGAGCAGGCATCAACCAGGTTTAGCTGAGATAGCAGTGGGTGATATGAGAAGGAGGAGATTGAATATCATTTCAAAGACCCGCTCCAATATTTTTAGGTTGTTTGAACGAATTCACCGATTGCGTGATTATTTTCGCAGGCGATGCAGCATTTTGTAAAATGTCAAGCTGCATTTATAAACATTTAAAACTATTTATGAGAGATGAATTCCATTGTTATTTTTATTTACATTCGAGCCATCATCTCCCTGTTAATGGTCGATTCATTTTATCCTGAATTGTGAAGCAATCAGTCTGTTTCAATATGAGCGCTATGAGTGAATCATTTATCATCCGAGACGTTTAATAATACTGATGATTGAGAATTTACGACAATGATGGTTTGCAGAAATGTGATGAATAAGCAGTATTGACGCTACAAATAGCCACAGCCGAGTGTAATAAGCTATTCGAGAAATTGCACTTTCTTTGCTGTATTTCTCATCGACAGGTCTAATATAGTGTTTCTATATCCATATATGGCTAACTGTGAGTGTGGCAATGAGGCTCGTACAAGTGCACCCAGTTCCACAGTGATTGAGATCTATACTGCGGAATCACGCAGCTTTCTCAATCTGATGAGAAAGAAGAATCAGAACGGAGTTTTAGTTGTGAATCTGCACAGAGTTGGATGAATCTGGCCGCTGGTGCTTGGCATCCCCTGTCTGATAATCGCTATGATTGGAGGGGCAGACTTTGAGTCACGGTGAAAGGGCCTCACTGATGCGGTTGTCATTGATGGACAAACAGGCTGGAAAGACAAAGGAGATGTCAGAGGAATGTAGAGCATTTGCTTGGTGAGTAAGAGATGTGTTTGAAGTGAGAAAAAGCCTGAAAAGAAATGAGCAGTCTTTTGAAATGACTGCTGCTGATTGCTTATCCTTTTAGTTGTATTAATTTGGGTTTCGCAGCAACACACAGGCATCAACCAGGAGGTTGATGCCTGGTTTATCCAGAGTAGGGCTGTTTGGTCACAGCTTAGGCTAATGGCTTTTCTCTATTTGACATTAATTTGACTTTTTGCAACAGCATCAATTCGTCTGAACAATAGGTAAGATACATTACAGGGCATCTTGACTCTCTATATTAAGGATTTTTCTGTTATATTCACAGGTGGAAGCTCAATGACTCCTTCGTCCTGCCCAGGCCAGGGTCACGTTACTCTCTCATGGGAGGAAACTTACACATCAGCCGTCTGAATAAAGAGGAAGATGTTGGCATCTATCAGTGCCTGGCATCAAACTCTTTTGGCACCATCGTCAGCAGGCAGGCCAGTCTGCACATCGCATGTAAGTCCATATTATTTTTCACCAAACAATGTGTCTTATCAGAAGGATTTGCAACATGGATGTACGATCATGACCACAGGCCCAGGACACAAAGTCACCACAGACCCCTCTCTACATATGCAAGCGGCAAGAGTTTGGTCGTATAATAGCAACCCACAACCCCAAAGTAGCATGTATTTTACTTTGAAATTGTATATATTACTTTGACATTTTAAATCACTGTCATTTGCAGCCCGTAGTACATGCCACGTACAAAAATGTGAAAAGACACCCTAATTTAAATAAACCACCGGCTTTCTTCTGGCCTTCTTTGAAGAAAAGTCATCGATGAAGTCGTCTTTACGTCATTACGTCATTACCAGTTAATTGGCTAATTTACAAAACATTCAAACTATTTCATAATCGTACTACATATTCAAAATCATGTTTGCTTCATATCTTAAAAACTAAAATAATTTAAATGAAAAAAGAGATAATAATTAACTTTAAGGCCAATTAAGGGCCACTCAAGGCCCTGGGCAAGTTTCCACTTTGCCCATGCGGTAATGCGTCTATGATTTTTAATAACCAAAAGCAGTTTTCAGTTTTGTTATTTGACTTCAGTTGGGTTTAGTTCACCTCAATTCAACTACAGTTGAGATCAGTTCCATCTTTGTTTGCCTCGGCAAGTAAAAGTTTCATTAAACATCAGAAGTTCTGGTTCACTGAAAGTATAATGACCCAGTAGGATTCTTTGGAAATTGTTTGTTGTCAGACCTGATCTTCTCGAACTAAAAATAACAACCAGCAACGAGAGACACTTACAGTATGCTGATACTGTTAAAGTTACTAATGAGAAAACACAAATTAACCGGCGGTGTTCCTGTCACGCTTTTATTCTCTAACCCTGATTAAAGATTCAGCGCCGGTGTTTACTCTAGTAAACGTCTCACACCCCTGTGATGATTGTGTGCTGGGCCTTGACAGACCAGTATAGTTGATGCTTTACAGCCTTCATCCATCACATTTTATAAGACCAGAATCTAAGGCATCTCTGATGGCAAGGTGAACTTGAGGCCTCCACTCTTGATGGGCAGCCCATATCAAATGACAGCCCTGATATCTGTGAACAGATGGTGCAGCTAGATTGAATTCTGATGTCTGTTTCTCTGCCATAGCCGACGCAGAGATGATCCTTGGCAGGGAGAGCACAGAGGTATCCATCTTGCCCCGCTTTGGTGCTACTTTGTCACAAAGCAGCATTAAATCTTCGACATAAAGTGCAAATCGGTGCCCTGAGTTGCTGGCAAGCTGTTGATCATATTCACATTTCCTTTCAATTTTCGAGGCCCCGACCTGAACTGTATGTCATCGTGATTGGTCTCATCCATTGCCTGGGCCCCGACCTGGGACCCGCTGCTTTTGTCAACAGATGGGGACAAACATCAGTGCCGACGTGTCGTACGTCTTATTTATTGCTCTTGTTTAACTTAATTAAGTCTGCTCTATGATTGAGCGGGTCTCGGGTCAAGGGAATAATTCACGGAGGAGCAGCCTGTTATGAGAGTCCGTATCGTGTCATTGGTAACCGACTCTGACTCAGAGGAGCTCGGTATGGTCTTTCACACACTAAGGGGCCAAAGCAAAGGTCATTAATAAGGAAAACACAAGGATCTACAGTAGCGTGTAGAGGGTAATCTTATTAGGTCTGGTAGTCTAAAGCGAAGGCTTTTGGGCACTGCTGCTAAAAACAAATGTAGAACAGTGATTACAGCCTGCTCATAATCAAACACCACTATTGTGCCTTCTTTAACGGTCTTATCTATATTTGGAAGTCCTTGCTGATATGGCGACCGAGATCAATGTCTACGACTTGCACAAACTAGTGATGTCACATATCATCAGATTTGTATTGCATGGCTGTGCAGTGCGTAGCCTACATGTTTAATCCTCCGGAGGATGGATGACATAACAGTGTCTGTTGCCATCTGGTAGGAGTTTGAAGCTCTGAAAGCATAAAGGTCCTTGATCCTGTTGACAATACAGACTTAAATATTTAAAAGGTTCTGCTCGCCTGCTGGAAGTGCTGGAAGGAATAATCTAGTTGATTATCGAGCCAGATTGAATTTCCTAATCCCCAAGGGGTATTTTTGGTGTAACTAAGGATTTTCACTGACGCAAGATGCAACATTATACAACAGAGCCCAAGGCCTGCAGTATAGGCAACGTGTATAGGACGCCTGACCCGAAGAGGGGACGTGCTACAGCCTGAATGCTGCGCTGCTTATAGAGCCACAAGGGTAACCACGTGTTTAATGAAGGGTGAAATAGGTGTATTTATGAAAGCAATGCAGGATGTGACTCCCTTGTATCTTGGTTCTCATGATTTCTCCTATCACATTTAGTCCTGTAATTGCACATAATTTGCATTTTTATTTTTCTTACCGGCTCTAGTCTAACCTAACTGCCTTATCTGTGTAATTACTTTGCAAGATTTCTATCGCTTGTTGTTGTTGTTTTTTTTCCTGCCTCTCTCATTTCTATCAGCTCTGTGCTCTTTATTCATTGCTTTTTGCCTTGGGTGAACATTTAGTCTGTTTTGAGCCGGAGAGCATCTGAGGAAGGGACAATAGCGTTTATCGTCAGCACTGCCATGCTAGGTGCTCAATCTGGGCTTCAAATCCTCTTTGAGGGAGGGTGACAGTGGGCATATTCTGAATGAAGCACTTCACAACAGTGTTGTAACTGTCAGGAGACGACAGCAGCAGCGCTCTGTAAGAATTAGGCCCCTCTTGATGTTTATCTCTCCTCAAATGTCTCACTGTTCACTGCATGATGCTTCTCTGACAACAGAGGAGAGGTGAGTTGAGGGAAGACGAGAAGCAGACATAGAAGAAATTATCCATTTATTTTTTTTGGACCCTCATGATTAACATATGACAAGTTATTGATTGCAGCTTTTTGGTGACTTGCATTTTACGTTAATTATTTATGTCAGCAGTAATTGAGTTCACACAGCTTTACTTAGTGATTAGTAAGCCTTCCTACCTCACTCTACAACCACAGTCAGTTTATCCAGTAATTAAGAAAAGACTAGATACTGCATGGTAAGAAAATTGACTGACCACTCTATAACTGTGTAATACGTATAGCATGGGTTAGCTGTAAATTACAGCTTTGAAGGGGTTTCAATGTAACATCACACACATGTTGTGTACTTTATAGGAATTAGGACAACCATTTATCTTACATTCTAATTTTTGAGGGTTTACCCATTTAGAAAGGTTATTAAATCTTGCTTCAGTGTGTTCAAGTGTTTTATTATTTTTTTTATTCTCACGTAATTACAAAAGGCTTTGACTCAGCTATTGTACTTTGCTGCATGTCAGAGTTTTCTATAAGGACCGCATGAACATTTTTTTGCTGTCCCCCCCCCCCCCAAACCTACATTCTGTCTTCGATGTTAAATGTTTAATGACAAATTCAATGTGTATTTGTTTCAATGAGAAAGTAGACATTTTAGAGATAAATAAAGTTCAGCAAAATCTTGCAGAATTTACATAAATCACGATCTAGCCGAATCATTTTATTTGTGCACTTTTCAAGCAAAGTGCACAAATAGCTTTCCAGTGCAGGGAGATGACATTAATATACCTGCGTATAAAAACACTATCAAAAGGTGATAAAAACTATAAACAAGCGTAAACTCCAACACAGAATCTGGTGGTAGCGCGACAGAGCTGATGTAGAGGACACAACAGCTGGACGAGAGACAATTTTCTACTAAATATTTTCTGAATATCTAAATATTTTTTTAATTCATCTTAAATATACATGTAAACAACTTATTGTATGGATGAAAGCCGAAGGGTTTGTCATTTATTATTATTATTTATTTAGCTTTGTGTATATTATATCCAAACTGGTCAGCTCACATCAGAAATACGAACTATCCCCTGAATGGAGGCAAATTATACCATAGCTAGAGTTCACATAAAACCCATTTAGGAAAGTTTTTAAAACTATTCAAGCCTTTTGTCCAATGGTTAGGTGACAAATGTAACCACATCACAAATCGCCCTGGAGCTCACACACTCCAACAGAATGGTTTCAATTTGTCTTCCCTACAATCACCTCTCATTCATTACAATGGGTCACATTGATGAAGCTAGCACAAAAATGCAAATTCACATCCAATTTCATGGATCTGAAAGCACTCAAAATAGCCTAAACCCTGCCACGGAGCAGCTCATGGAGGTGCAGAGCCGTGATGGGCTTGATAAGATGATCCACGGGGTGCGGAACAGCTTGGGTTGTCAGGCATTGTTGGCTTTTAGTGTGTCTCGCTCATTTACGCTCCACCATACTCCAAAGGAATATTGATCAGGAGAGCTTCACTCTCAGTGTGTTGAGCAACTCTGCGACTTTCTAATGTATGAGTGTGATTTTAGAAAGGAGTTAATTGTTCCTGTATGTTGTGCCTAATGATGGACTGGGCATGGTGAGCAAAAAGGCACCCAAAATCTGGCCCTGTATTTCTCTGTATTTATGGTAACATTTTTGATTTGATACACTGTTTTTCAAACCCAATGCTCCCTACACACACACACACACACACGCGCACACACACAGATGCTTGTTTGGAGCAGATGGCTCATGTGAGTTGTTTAACTTAGTGGTAAAGAGTGGATAAGAGGAGTTGTTGCATGGCAATTGTGCAAACAGTTTAATCAGAGAAGACCGTTTCATCTGTGAATGAAGCCTGTTCTTTTTTCAAAGCTGAGAACCTTCTTTAACTGTGCAGTTGGTAAACTGACATTAAATTTAAAGTCTGTTTTATTCAGGATTTTTTAATTTTTATAACGCACGTGTAATACGTCTCCTCAGTTTGGCTGCTAAAACCGCCTCATTGATCTCCGATTGTCTGGTATTGCGAGACAAGTACTGCACATTGTTATATATTAGTTACTTCTTTATTTGATCAAACTTTTCCTTTTTCTAATAAAAACCATAAACTCCGCAGACTCCTGAAGCCAGAAGACAAACACAGACATATTGAACACCCAAAATGCAAAAACAATTTGCAGCAAATCTGAAACCACAGACTGGACAGTGTATTATTTCTTATCAGCATTTATGATGACAACCAAACGATTCACAACATCAAACCATTCAGAAGCAGTGCTACTGCAGCTGCTGGGACATACTGTCTGACTCAGCAAGTAGTGGCCCTGGCAGAGCAGCCATAGTTTAATATGTTCTCAGATAGCTTGTTTGCCTCCTCACAAAGCTAAAAGAGCATGTCGAGGCAGGGGAAAACATGGAGCTGCAGTTAATACGACGCACTCATTTGGGCTTTTTTCTCCAGCACCACATGCAAGTTGACTTTTGTGGTTTTGAGTGAAATGTCCCAACAACTATAGGCCTTTTTCACAGCAGGCATTTTGACTTGTCACAGTAACAAAAACAGCGATTTAAATATAAGATTAATGATTTTACGTTTCAGGGTGCGGGTATTTTGCATGCTAGCTAAATATGTAAGTATGATTGTTAAAGGTATTTAGGGACCCACGACAAGCAGGTAATATGGATGGGAGTTCATGCAAAATGGTTGATTGAAATTGAACAACTCACCAATATAATGAATTTTAATGGCAAAAAATGAACATGACTGAAATGACTTCTGTTAGCAGGTAATAACACAATAACAGAAATACAACGTTATCTCTGCCGCTCTGGGATTCCAATGCTGGTTGTTAATATCTGTGAGCAAGATTCAATAAAACATTTTATTGTGACTTTTAAATTTTTTATATTGTGGTTAACTCGCTAATGTTACATTAAGACATCAAGTTGAGCATGAACATCAGCAGAGGCCTGAAAAGTATTGCTTTTACAAACATTTCCCACATACAAAGCATCAAATTACAAATTGATATTTTTGGATAAATGAATATTGAATTATAAATGAATACATTTCTCACATTCACTTAGGAGTTTATCAGAGGGATCTGCAGTAAAGATGGGTTGCTGCTCCGGAGGGACCCTGACTGTGCTCAATCTGTTCCTCCACCGAGAGGCTCCATGCTATTGTTACCCATGGATCAGCCATAGATTTAGAACTGGCCACTGAAGCATCCGCACAATCTGTCTGCACCAAATATTAAAAGAACTTAATGATCTACTTGTTAATTTGTGAAGCCATTCAGAAGCTTTCCCGCTAAATCATTTGCGAACCCAAAAAAAAAATCTGCTTTTGATTTCGATAATGTACACGCTGTTCTGCTGGGTGCAGTTTTCAATTACTCAGAAGGTCTGCAAAGATCACGTTCTGTACTTAATATGCGGCGCCTCATCCTGCTGTGCTTGTAGACAGGAGGTGTCAGTTTTGCATTCTTTCTCCCCGTTTTCGCATTCAGTCTTGATTATGTCATTATATGGCAGCCGCGTATTTGGCTGCACGGCTTGCGATATCTCCAAGAGCCACAGCAGGCAAGAAAAGGCAGAATGTTTTAGGATTGCTGTCTCTATTTGCTTTTTCTCAGCAGGGTGTCAACAAGTAATTGGTCTCCATACAAATGATGTTTCAGTCTTAGTCATTTAATTGTTACTGGTCTGTGTGCAGTGGATGAAACACAGAAAGTGATAACAATTCATAGTTCCAATTAAATTCACTCATGTGTGACTTATACTTGAGGAATTGCTTTCTGCTCCAGTCAGGAGTGTTTAGGTCTTTACAGCATTTATGCAAACATATAGCGGGCTTTATGGAAATATGCAAAAGTTCTGCATCGTGTGCCACCGTTGAACTCTGGTCTGTATAGCTGTGTTCTCACCAGATACGAAATTATTGAGCAGCCACAGATATGAACCGCGGTGCATTTTTTACTTCTGTAAACAACTCTGCACGTCTTGTGTGCGTATGGCTTTTGAGAATAATTCATTATTTTGCTGTATTGTTTTTTGTGTGTTGTGGTCAACAGACTTGGAGAACTTCAAGACACAGAAGAGAAGTCCAGTGAGGGTTCGTGAAGGTCAAGGAGTGGTCCTACTGTGTGGCCCACCACACCACTCCGGAGGTAAGACGGCCTTATCTCGAAGTTCTTGACCTTGTCAAGACTTTCATTTTATTTGCTACCTCACACATTCGGTCATTTGCGCTGCCGCTCAACAACAACTTAGCATCAGTGAGGACGGATCCACTCCGTGCTTATCTGGACAAAGTGGAAGTCATGTGCATTTGTGCTCTCCCCCTCAGATCTTCTGGCTGTTTGTTTGTGTTGTTGGGGTCAGTGGAGTGAGTCATTTTTACTTTGGGACACTCTGGCCTGTCAGCCTGATTTTCAATGGGGGCCAGGAAAAACTCTGGCATGCAGACTGGAGAGGCTGTCTGTGGCTGGGGTCCTGCCAGGCTGAGTAATGGAGCTTCTCTCTGAAGGTGCTTTGTGTGCTTCACATCAGCCCTTTGCTTCCATGACATTATCATTGGGAGTTAGCATCCAGTGCTATTAACTCCTACACAGGGGTCTGGAGATGGGGCTTTATTCTACCAGCGAGCAGAGCTGAATGAAATTCTCCACCTTTCAGCCATTATTTCTAAAGATCAGCATATGATAGTTTAGTGATAGTGTTTTTTCAGTGGCTTAGTCCAAATTATCCTTCTAAATAGATTTTTTTGGCAATGTCTTATGTGATGTTAAAAAGGAACTGGTGTTAAAACTCAGACTGGTATTTCCAGTTGACTCTTTTTAAGGCCATTATTATTCAATATTATCTTGTCACAAAGTTTGGTGGAATTCTATCATGACAATTTGATCCCATAATCTTACTCAATTATGTTGCCCAATTAATGATCGCAACTTAGAAGTCTAACTTTTCGTCCAACGCTGCATCCTGTTCTCTTCATACATCATATTCAGAATGGGGTTATCGGCAGTAACCGCCGTATGAGTGCAGTGCAGAATGGCGGCGATTAGCTAGCCAGTAGGGCACCCACTGGGACTCGCATGCACTAACAGCCGGACAGGCTATGTCAACAAAGCACAGAGAAGCTTGGTTAGCAACACAAACAGAGGGAGAGCGACTTCATTCTCTGCTCAAGTAGACGTTACTCCATTGTGTCTTCACATAGCAAAGAGTTGTTTGCTGCTCTATTAATGCTATGAATTTCAGATGTATCACCTTTAATGCTGTGATGTTGATTTTTGCATATGGCCCAGCCCAATAAGGGCATGCCTTAAACAATATTATACAAACTGAAAAACAAGTACTTAAAGCTTCTGCAGCTGGATGTCATTTGTAACATAAACTAAATATTGTTGGTGTCGTTTAGGGAAACTTTATTCCACTGATTCATACTGTGTGCTACTGTGCAAAGCGAATGCTGTTCGTTTGACAATAGGATGAGATGCTTTTGTTTTTTATCATTATCACACACTTACTTGCAAACCTAAGCGTAGGCTCATATTTGTAATGCTTTGTTCTGTATATGTTATAATGAGACATCCCACCTTGTGTTGACAAGAGAAGCTGGGACAATGAGCCACATGCTCACTTTTGGCAGCCTCGTAGTGTAATGGCTTTTTACTTTTTTAGACACATCCCCCGGTGGAAGGTGTCCAAATGCCAACACGCACTCCAGCCAGCTAAAAACAAAACCGCAGCATTGTCAGGAGTGTTGGGCTGTAGTAGCAGTGTCATGACGGGGTCCAAAAATATTTATTCAACGATTTTGGCAATAATAATTCAGTAGTTTCTTCGTGATTCGTAGGGAAACGGCACAAGTTCAGTCGTGGCAATGTCCCATATGCTAAATCCGGTCTCATTTCTTCTCAATGCATTGTCTGTTGTGACGGCCATTGTGCACGCACCGGGCTAATGTTTGTAATTTGGAAGAGGAAGATTGCTCCCTTTATGTGACTGCATTGACGAGGAGTGTGGCGCTCCCCGGGCCAACCTTTTTGGGGGTTTTAGCGATGAGTGCAGAAATGATTCGACATTGACTGACTTCTCCTTGGAAACATTACATGTTGCAAAATGTTTTGGGTCATTTGCACACGTACACAAACAGGCCAGAAGCACTGTTTGCAAGCCAGTTTGAAGAAGTGGGAGATGTTTTGGTAACCAAGCATTCATTTATACACTTGGAGATTTAATGATGTAGTTTAATGAATGCTGAAGTCAGCGTACTATAGGGTGTACCATTTTATTCATTGCTACATACTGTATATTGTAAACATTGTTCATATATATATATATATATATACTGTATATATATAAAAAGCGTAATCTACAAACAAAGGAAGGAAAGTCAAGCAAAGTGGAGTTACAGCTGTAAAAGCTTGGATTTTTAATATCTGCTGGTAATTGTTTCTATTCAGAGCAAAAGATTAATTTGTTCATTTTGTATTGCTATTGTGTAAGAACAAATGTGATCTAGTGAGGACATAATGGCATGCTACATTTTAGTACAGACAAGTACAACACTTTTTGTTTTTATTTGAAGATTTTGCATTGCATTGAAGAACGGGGCCAAGAGGCACTCACATTTTCCAACCTCAAGAATTATTCAGGAGTGCTGCTGCTCGGCTCTGGGAAGGACTGCAAGTGTCGAATGAGTAAAAGTCACACCTTCATTTTATAGCGTAGAAACACGTCTGATGATGAATCTCATTTTATTCAAGTTAACAGCAGGTGGGAGCTTCACCCCTGTGAGAAACATCACACCTTTGAAAATCACCTCCTCTAATCATGTAATCATTTTTTTCCCTCTCACATATAGTGTGTTACTCCGTTAATGGCACAGCTTCTTCTTCTTTTTTTTTTTTATTGGTGATGAAATGTATTGTTTAACCTTTTAACTAACAGATGGCTCAACCAGCAGGGGGTGTCTATCTTTTATTGCTATACTTTCATGCAATAAGGGGATATCAGGACATCATTTTATTGAAATTGGCATTCAAAATGTAACATCTCTCTTTATGAACTAATTTTCACAACATTCAGGAGACTCCCCCAGCTTCTGATGTCGTACTTTGCTCAAGAACTCCAGCTGCTTTGTTTTGACTGTGATCTTGCATATTTGACAACGCCGCACTTCACAGATGTTTACTAAGATGTATGCCACAGTGTGTTTGGGTAAAGAATTTGACTAAATCATTGGAGATATGTTATCTGGGTCTTGATGTTTTCGTCTGCAGGGAAATGTTAATAGACTTCTTCAATAATTCTCTTCAATAATTCATCTTCGTCTTGTCTGTCATTTGTTACGAAAACGTGCTATTTTTATTTTGACTCCAAACTCCCTCTGGACCCTGCCTCCAACATGACACTGATCTTTTGGGACTAGAGTACTGGAGGGGGTTGTTGTCAGTAACCAACACTGTTACATTGCACCTGGCCCATATCTGTCACACCCAGTCTCATACAAAGCCTGTACCTGCTCTCAAAAAGGAATGAGAACTACGTCGACGCTAATATGAAATCTGTCGAGTTGCCAAATGTTTTGCCATCATCATTTTGAGACGATCCCAGCTGACATTGGGCAAAGGCAGAGTAAACCCTGGACTGATCGCCGGGCTGTCACAGGGCCAACACACAGAGACAGACAACTAATCACGCTCACATTCACACCAAGGGCGATCTACAGCCATCAATTGTTCTAACCTGCATATATTTGGACCGTGGGAGGAAGAAAACCTACGCTAACATGGGGAGAACATGCAAACTCCACACAGATGGGCCCGGCCAGGGGGGTTTGAGTCCCTCTTGATGTGAGGCGATAGTGCTAACTGGTACACCACTGTGCCGTAGGAGGCAACACGCGTGACTAAGGAGGATTTATTTACACAGTGCAACAAAACTGTGCTTAACTCAGGAAAACTTAACCCTTATTAACGAACTAAAACCATCAATATTTCTTTATAAGAGGCAGATTTTGTGCTACTAAATGTTGATCATGAATGAAGACATGCAAGACCTCTGATACCATAACATGTAGGACAAGGATGTTCAAAATCCGTTATGCAGACTGTCAACAATTTTTTTTTTTTCTGTGGGAATCGTTGATTAATTGCTAATTTTGGTTAAATTCATTCAAACTAGGTCAGTTTGCTCCCCTGCTGATTTTCTCATAACAAATAAACACATTCAGAGCATGTGCTTTTGTCTGACCGACCAGTAACCTTCAGACTGCCTTTGTTTATACCAAGAACCTTGTAGATCATAGCTCTTCTCTGGAGACCCTGCACAGTGCTTGCAATGATCCATTTTCTGACAATATTGTTTTGCAGCTGTCCTCGTAGATTATTCTTATTGATGGAGATGTTGAGGATTCTGAGATGTGCTGTAGGATGAATTATCTCCAATTTTCTAACATCTTTGCTGAAAGGCTAGCCTGACCATATCTGCTATGGTAATAATGTAACACATGTAGTTTTAATGACATGCTCACACAATTATACATATACCCACACACCTTATAATCACATTCTATTGTCCTAAAGCCCCTTTCTTAGAATACAACTATGAATGGCTATGCTGCACCTGGTCACTTTATATATATATATATATATATATATATATATGTATGTATGTGTAATATTGATGCAAGTATAAATGATGGGAAAGGTTTTTAAAAAGTAGGAAAATAAAATCTGAACCAGCTTCATACCTTCAAGCTCAAGTATCAACACATTTGCCTCCATATGTTTTTTTATTTTAGCATCCAAGTTTAGTCTTTTTATACATTCATAAAATAAATATGGATACATAAGAAAGTTGTGGTAAATACATGACAAATGTACTCTAATTACAGCACTATTAATGTATTGTTGCACATTTGAAACACAGAAAAGCCTGACTGTCATTTCAATAGACTGAGAAACATGCTCTCATAAAGTAAAGTGTGACAAAATTCATGATCAGCGTGATACTGCCTTCGACAAGGATCTGCCTCATCTCCCATTTAAAGTATTTCAGTATCCCATGCATGATTCAGCAAGCCATTATTTCATTTTAACGATGCCTCAAAACCCTCAAGACAGCTGCAGGAAGTAGTTTGGTGCAGCCAGGATGCTTTGGAACTGTAAGTTGTGAGGTTGCACTTAAAGACTGACCAAAATATTGTCAAGTGCGAAGAGGAGCTCCAGTGGTGTTGTTTCACTGCAGTGTACTGTATTTGCATTGGATGTCAGTCTGTGTCATGATCTGCTTTGAGAGGGTCTGAATGACTTTGGTTAGTCCAGGACCTAATGCATCTGACCTCCTTTCACTAATGGAATCGGGCCTTTTAGATTTACTCAAGGCTGAAATCACTTGTTCTCTATTTGCAGTGCATATACCTCAAAACAGAGGCTGCTCGCTGGCAAGTAACACACATAGCTTGCAGGGATTCTTCCTAAGCCATTTCATAGAGTGAACTTGTTCTGTGTTATGAATACAGATAGCTAGCCCTGGTTAATGGCTGTTACTGTCTAGGGAACAGACTTGCGAGTACAACTTTGAGACAAATTGTGCATACTCTTTTCTTTTTTTTTGACACAATACACACTCTGGATTCAGTATGTCCTTGGCCTGTCATGTTGCATTTCTCTTCCCTCCTCTCAGATCATTAAGGGGCAATTGATGCTGCCTGTTCATTATACAAGGGCTAAATGGAACCACAATGGAAATCTGCCACTCACTGTCAGTCATGATTGCATTATTCCATTACCGCCCATCCGCAGGAGGCTCTCAAGTCAAATCATCAAATACAACCATTGGTACTTTCCACTTCCTATTTCCTGCTTCCTGTTTCTCATCATGAATCTTTAACTGACCAATTAGTAACCTCTTATTTGCTGTTGTTCCAGTTCGTCATGCCCTGCACCTTTTGGAAGATATTGTTTCAAAAACAGACATTAAATATACATGACCTTGTGATGATGGGAGCTGGCTCCCCATACAGCAAAGAATCCAGTTCAAGATCCTCCTCATCACTTACAAAGCCCTCCACAACCTCGCCCCTTCATACCTTTCGGACCTCCTGTACCATCACACTCCCAACCGCAACCTCAGATCTGCCGACGCCAACCTCCTTACCCCCCTACTCTGTCCAAGCATCGGACCTGGGGGGACAGGGCCTTCTCCGTTGCTGCCCCCTCCCTCTGGAACTCCCTGCCCCAACACCTCAGACATTCTACGTCACTCGCCACTTTCAGAACTGCACTTAAAACTCACCGATTCAAATCTGCTTTTAACCTCTAAAGTCCGTCATGTATGTTTTTCTTTCTTTCTTTTCATGTTTATTTTTATTTTTTTCTTACTGTTATGTCGTATATTTTGTTCTTATTATAAATGCTTCTATTGTTTCTGTTTTTAACATGTAAAGTGTCTTTGAGTGCCTTTTAAAGCGCTATATAAATAAAATGTATTATTATTATTATATATTATTTAGGGGAGAGAGGATATTACAGCTGTTCTCTCTGTGGGTCGGAAGAAGTTATGATTGGTACAAATGACGGAGGCTAGTGTGGACTTCAAAGCAGTAGAAACCACAAGAGGTAAACATTGTAATTGAAATGCCACTCCTCTTATTACATGTCTTATATCAGTCTATGTTAGTCCTTAAAGGAAACGTTTTTGGGAAACGCATATTCGCCTTCTTGCAGAGAATCGATTGATACCACTCTCAATCTGTTAAAGCCAGGAGACTGTTAGCTTAGCATAAAGACTGGAAACGGGGGGAAACTGCTAGCCAGGCTCTGTCCAAAGGTAAAAATAAAAAACTTTTTTTTGTTAAATTCGTAAATGGCTAAAGTGAAAAATAAAGAACATTTTCAACAGGAGTTTCTGCTGGTTGCCTGGCAACCTGAGTATGACAACAACCCTCAAGGAAGTTACTGCTTCCAGCTAAAAACTGGTCCAGCAGACGTATGAAGCTAACGGCAGCGTTAGATTGTATGTACCGTACAGTTGTTATACACATCACTCTCAAAATGTGCCACATTGGAAAGCAGAAAACAACATTGGCAGGAAACAGACCGACAGATGTGATTACACTGCGTGGTCCAAGTTTCAATCTCATGTTGTGTTCTTGGGATGATCACAAGGTCACCTCTTACCAGTCCAACCCACTTAAAAACACCCACTCTGTACTCTGTACTGGAGCCTTTTGAACATCTCGAGATCTCAAGATTCTGTGCCACGTCGTGATTTGCAAGCTTTGCAGTGATATGTAAAAAGCCCAAACATCCTCTTGCCCCCTATAGAGCAAAAGTGAAGTACACTGAGTCAGTAGATGAGTGTCCAACTCGTGTCTCAATTATTCCCTGTACCATAGTGCCGAGTCATCGCTTAAACAAGTTTTTTACCAACGGCCAAGATTGCTTTTGGGACCGGGATGCAATATGGTCCAGAGCAATCTATCTGAGTGTCAATATGTCAAAACATCATCATTCCTTTTTAAAATGCGGCTCATTGTTAGTACAAAGCCTCTCTGACTGCACTCAATTTGGTTGATAGTACCGGGAGTCTTTCCCAGAAGTTTGTTATCAAGGATGATGAATAGTCGACCAGGAGGTACCATACTGAATAACATGATCTGTAATACATTGGTTTTATTGGGCATTGTATAGTTTCTCATGCAGGATCTGCAGCTTAAGGGTTGATTTAAGGTCCTCTGCTCCTACACGACAGCCACAAAGGGAGGTGCTTGTTGTTGTTGTTTTTATGTACAACTACTGTCTCTTGTCTTTTTTAAATACTGTATATTCAAATTATTTAACACATCCCAAGAAGAGATAAGGGAGTAGATGAAACTAAATATATGAAATGAAATAAACAGGGCTTTATTGAACAGGGAATTATTGAATGATGCAATGCTAATACAATTACAGACATGCAATTTTAAGTTTAATTTACACTGGGTGAGTTTGCTTAGTACAAATCTAACGCTCTCCTCACATTTACCTGGAAATGCTCCCAGAACCATCAGAGGCTTTAGCTGTCTTCAGGTACCAGACAGACGAGGAAATATGATCCAGGAATTCTGATTTGAGAGTTAAGTGTTGGAAGGCTCACCAGATTCCAAAACACTGGAAAGTGGAAAGTCTGTTCCAGCTCTGGGAAGTTATCACTGTAGCAACCTAACTTTCCTCCATTGCGATAATCGTTCATGCAATCATGTCCGTGATTGTTGACCGACAGGTAGTGGTCTCATTAGAATGAATGAGAGGGCTGCTTTTGTATTTTTACTTTTTTTTTTTCACTTCGGCCGTGCGCTCAATGTGAACATGGCATTACCCCGGATGTCACTGAGCAGCAATACTGGAACAGATGGGACTTAAATGCCTTGGACAAGGTTGACGTGTTGGTTTTAAGAAAGCGAGTGTTAGTCGTTAAATCACCACCACACTCCTCATCTTAACACAAGCGGGCCACCGCAGAAAGACCTCAACATTTCTGCAGTGGATGTAAATATGTACTTCCCTGAAAAGTCAATCATTCATATCCTCGACACCATCTCTCCAACATAGTGAACCTGTTAAACCTTTATCATATTAGGGGCATTCATCCGACAGTGAGTAAGACTAATTGCTCTTCAATTATACATTGTGTTTTTAATCACGGAAGGCTGGCACTCAGTCCAATCCACTAATTGCTTTATCCCTGAAGGCACCCGCTCACACTGAAGTGATAAGACTGCTGATGCAGTACATATTATCTTTACACGGGTATAGATGATGCATAAATGTGTATTTGACTCGTCGCTGTCACTTTGTCCTCAGAACTTACCTTCACGTGGATCTTCAATGAGTACCCGTCGTTTGTCATTCGGGACACACGACGATTTGTGTCCCAGAAGACAGGCAACCTCTACATCGCCAAAGTGGAATCCTCCGATGTGGGCAACTACACGTGTGTCGTCACCAATACAGTCACCAAAAGCAGTGTTCAAGGACCACCAACTCCTCTAGTGCTGCGTGTTGATGGTATGACAGTTTTACCCTACTTATTATACATAGAGTACAAGGTAGGGGAAGAGTGATACATTTATTATTATTTATTTAAATCCAAATTTGAAGCAGTGCAACTTTCAAATTGCTGGTGCAGTTGCTTGAATTAGCAATAGCCTGGCAAGTTGACAAGTTTCAGGAGGTGAGAGTTTTATTTGGCAAACATTGATTTTGCCGGCTGCTGGCCAACTGTTGCCAGCACATTTTATTATGGTGGTGTGGTTCTGTTCAATACGTCCAAAAGAGTGATGAGTCTCTTGGTGAAACAATGTAGCCGATCACACCATCAAAGCTTCCTTTGAAGGAGACTTTTATCCGACTGACTGGTTTGGAAAAGAGGACTCGTGTCGACCTCACGAGGCCACCGCATCACTTCATCTGATTCTTCTCATGTTGAAACAAGATAGGCTTGTAATTATGATTTGTAGATGTTTGATGATCTGTAGACCATCACTACAGGACTGGAGTGTGATTTATAAATACAAAAAAAAGCATTGCATTGCAATGGTGATCACTGGTCGGAAAAATCTAAATTTGATATACTTCCCTAAGCCGTTGGACACAGTTGAGAGTTTGAATTTGTTTTAGTCATGAGTGACCTAAACTTTGTTTCTATGTGACCTTTTCTAGCCTTGAGCTGAAATAATTCCCTTCAGGCATGCTTGTCATTGTTTCTATGTTTCTCTTTGTAACTCCAGGTGTGATGGGTGAATACGAGCCAAAGATCGAAGTGCAGTTCCCTGAAGTCGTCCCTGTTGCTAAGAGCTCAACTGTCAAACTGGAATGTTTTGCACTTGGAAAGTACGTCCCACTGTGTGTTATTACACCACTGCCATGCGTTGTTTACTGTATCATTCTAAGCTGCATGCTAATGTGTGAGGACCCTTGCAAGTGATTTTGAGAGCAGAAGATTTAACATTTTAATGAGTCCTTCTTGTGCTGTACACCCACAATACACAGAAGAAACATTCACCAGTTAATGTTTCCGATGGATTAAACATCGACATGCTTTATAGATGTGTGTTCACAGGTAACATATATGTGTGTTAGCCTGGGCTAAATGTGTAGATAACACTATCATCGGGAGTATTTTTCATTTTGTGGCCTTGCTGTGTGTTGTATTTCCATGTGTTTAGCCCAGTGCCAACCATCAGCTGGAGGAGAGTGGATGGAGCTTCTTTTGGCAGGAAGGTGGACATAAATAAAGCCAGCGGAGTATTGGAAATCCCTTACTTCCAGCAGGAGGATGCAGGAATATATGAATGTGTGGCTGAAAACAGCAGAGGAAGAAACTCTGCTAAAGGAAAGCTCTCTTTCTATGGTGCGTAGGAGGATGATTTCGCTGACTTTGATCAAAAACTGATTTTACCTCACACCTCTTGTCTTGGGAACAAATCAAATGGTATGCCTTTAACCTGTCAGTCTTCTTCCCAACATATCATGTGCATTCTTAGACTTCTAGCTATTCATTCATACCCTTTAAAGCTTCACTGCAACTGAGCCGGATTGAAAATCTTGCAGAATAAGAGTGTAGCTTCGGTGTGAGTCTTACAAAAAAGTTTTACTTGTTGTCATGCAATCTGTAGCTTTTATTAGAACCCATATATAACCGCATCATATAGTGCAATGTAGTAATAAATTAACCTATTACCAGTAGTTCATTTCTGACAAGCTCTCTATTGTGCCAGCGGCTAACCCAGGCCGCACACAGATTTATACTACCTTTCAGGGAGGGGGGATTTTTCCCCTCACCAACACTGGACTTATGGCCCATATTCCGAGGAAAGCTTTTAATGGCCCTTGATGAAGGATTTTTATGGTTTCTCTCTCCATTATTTTGCAGTTTACGCATTGATGATGTCTGCCCACAAGGCCCTGTAGGGATGTACTTGAAATCATCAAATCCAGATTTTTGTTTCCCGTGAAGAAGGGTGCCTTTGATATGATAATGCAGTAGTATGGAGTTTATTGCAGCACCTGTGGGTCTGGTGAGAAATGCTCACAGTACCTGTAGGTTGGCTCAGAATCAAACATGTTTTGCTTTAAAGGGAAGTGCCTATTCATGGAGCAGTGTAGCGTCACACCATCGCTCTTGATAACGTAGAGGCCCTAAAACAGTGAAAAATGGCATGCTCACGTTAAAGTCATCCTGCTAACAAGGTCATAAGTTTCCAACAACCTGTAGCTATCGCTGTCTTGGTACGGTGTTGTGTCGCCTCTGCACATTTCCTTTGCTGTAGTTGTGTGGAAGTCATGTTTCTCCGTGTAAGATTTAAGGCCTGTCTCATCTCAAAGCCTCGCAGACTGGCCAGCCGCCAGGTGATAAAAATCTGTAATCTCATTTTAAACTCCCATAGACAGGAGCTTGTGGGACATCCATCAACTCTATAGAAGCGAAGGAGAATCAATATGGGGATGTGGTGTTTGCGACACCCAACCAATGCGGGTGCAGGAACAATAAGGGGTGGCCTCTCTTTCGATTTCCCACTTAATTGTCCTTCTGTAGATCCAGGGGATTTATGAAATTAGATCATGGTTTAGCAGATGACTGCATTTGAATGAGCTTAGACACGATCAGATTGACTTTGAATAGAAGCCGCTTGCATCATGTCTTCCCTTCCATTATGTTATCTCTGACAGTCTCATTTGTAATATTGTTAACTGGGTGTCATGCACAATAGTGTTGGTTTCTGTATAGTGATGTCTTTTCAATTCAGTAGCTTGCTCGTTTCCAAACGTATTATGTGTTTTTTTTATACAAAATATTATCTCACTTCTCATATGGGGCTGCCAAACACTTCCTCTATGTAGGCTTTTTCCTCACTCAAATACTAAGAAGGGAGGAATTTGTGTTCAAAATGAAAAAGAAATGGCTGCCAGATAGTGAAGAACTTTCAAGAAGAGCCCTGGATGATGTGTTCAAGGTGTTCGAGGCGTGTCATTACCCTGCGTTTATGGGACGGTGGCGATGCATTCTTCCAACTAAAAATAATTAGTCGTCTTGCCAATAATGTTGAACAAATCTATAGCCTCTGCCTGATTTTGTAGCTGGAGTAATTGCATCTTGTCAGGCGCCTCACCATAGATAGAAGTCAGAGATTTAGGATCGATATCTTTGCTGTTCATAAGTGAAACAGTTCTGAAAATGTCTGTCCAGAATTTAGTTTGTCTGTGACATGCCCAGAACATATGACTAAGGTTGACTGGCTCTTGGTTAAATGTGGGGCAAGATGGGTCTGACCCTGGGTACGTTCTATCAACCTATACAGTCTGGTCACACAGGAAAAAACACACCCAGTTCCAGACTTTGCTAATTTACCCAATCCATATGTGTAGGTGGTGAGGATGTGCTGGGTGAGGTGACTGGAGAAGGGAGAGTGTGTGTGTGTGTGGCGTAGTGGTGTCTCCAGTGCGCTCAGTCGTGTTCAGCACAGCTGAAAATCCAAACTTTTGCGTCGGAAGCGGGAAGCGTTTGCCTCTTTCGGACCCCATTTTGTATCCACGCAACGGTTATAAATGAAACCCCATGAATCCCCCCCAAAACAAACTGTTGATCTCCGTCAGAAATTCACAGAGCACATCATGACTGATTTAAACAGATTCACATCTGACCAGCTACACTATGACCCAGTGATGGGAGAGACTGTAGCATGTTCAAACCTTGTGTGTGGGTCAGTATTTTCCCTCCTAAAAAGTCCTTGACACTGAATGGACCATGGATACTGTTCCAGTAACGGTACTCTCATATTCCCGCAGAGAGATGAGATGAAAGGTTATTTCAAGCAAGAAAAAAATGTTGCATATAGTAATAATACTTATCATTATTATTATTATTATTACATTATCAAAGTAATACAGCTAGACAAGCAGACAGACAGGTTCTACCTCGCCCCCCTTGACCCTGGCACGGCGTCCTGTATTTATGTGGGTAATTCACAAAGGCCATAAATCTTCTGACTCTGTCGCTAGAGATACGGCGCTAGTCATCTATGTGCCACAGTACGTCGATCATAAATAAAGAGTCATTTTCTCTATGGATTTCAGATGTTGCAAAAGATTCTGTTATTAACAGCATTGCTAAAAAATACAAGCCTTCTATTGTACTGTATGCATCACATATATTACAGTCAGTAAACCCAATTATTGTAAAAGATCTTCATCAAAATAACTTATTCAAGCTGGTTGTAGTAAATCCACTAGATATATTTTAGCTTTCAACCTTACAGTGAAGGATTTCAACTAAGCTATCGATCCTTCCACGTGTTAAGTTCATGCAGTTGTTTTAATTTATATATTTCTCAACTGGAGGTGAGCTTTGGGTTAATTGGAAGTGGATTTATGATTTGTGCCCTTGGATGCCTCTTTAATGATCTAATTGACCGCTTGGTTGGTTCATCGATTTATTCTAAAACTGCTGCATGCTGGAAATACTGAAGCATAGGTGCAGCGTGAAAGTGTTCATTTACAGGATGTGCTATGTGACCTCACAGCGGCACCTAACTTGACCGAGAAGCCTGAAGATGTTCAGATGACCATTGATGATACGCTGGTGTGGGAGTGCAAAGCCAGTGCCAAGCCCAAACCCTCCTACCGCTGGCTGAAGAACGGAGAGCCTCTGGACCCCATGGAGGTAAGTGATTTTTCTCAATCACTGTTAATGACAAAATCTCAAATATAGAGAATATGAATGTGAGAATGATCCATAGTTTCCCCCCCCCCCCCCCTGGTGCCCCCGTGCAAAGCCAGTGCCAAC